TCAGCACAAAATGAGCTTATCTGGGACCACCCAAGAAAGTTTATATAATAAAATACTTATAGAAAAGGAGAAACTTCTTTAAAAAGAATAGTCACACTTGACCTGGCTTCAATGACTGGATGAACAGAACTCAACCTGAAGAAGAAAGAAGAGGAAAAAAAGCACCATCTGATACAATTTGATAAACTTGACCTACACCTATAAATGCAGTAGCTCAAAAGAGGAAACAAATCCTTGCTGCAAGAATTATTCCCACCCCCTCCACACAAAGAGTAGCAGGGGTGGGCAACTTGAACATTGGCTACCCAAAATGGGGGGTAGCCAAAGGTGGGAAGTGACTGGCTTACAAGCTTTCAAGAGGGAACCTAGATCCAAAGGACATGGAGGAAGGTAGAGTCTCCAGTGAATAGTGTCCAGCCTGTCCAGGAAGGGCTGATGAAATGAAATGCAGATGAGTCTCTTGTGATGCAGTGGTGAATAATTGTTATCAGGACTGATTGTGAGGGTTGGAAATGTAAAGGTGGATATTTTTGTAGCAAGGAGGGGAGTGATTAACTTTTCAGTTTGGGAGTGGAGGGTCCTGGGACCATCAATGGAGAGAAGTGGAAAGCGGGACCCTACCCAGAGAGGCTGTGAGGCCTGAGATGGAAGCAGAGAGGATGACATGAAGAGATGGAGTGGCTGGGGACTTGAGATCTAGAAAGGGAGAGGGGCTGTGTGCTGAGGACCGTGGGGCGGGGAGGGGGGAGCTTGCAAGGTATATCCTTTGCTTGGGTGATGATGCATGAACAGGATGGTAACTATGGCAATGAAAAGATGTATGATAGAATGAATGTAAAATGAATTAAAAAAAAAAAGAATAGTCACTTATGATCAAGTGTCATGACTTAGGTTTTGATGACAGCAGCCTAGGGAGTCACAGGAAAGGGAAATGCAAGTTAGAAAATAAAAAAGGAGTGTAAGTTTAATTGTCTGAATTTTAAATATAATCACAGCTTGTTCCACGATGGGACAGATCTTTTCTTTAAAGGTAATTATGTACATTACTTTGTTGATAAATGTATTTGTATTAAAAACACTGAAAAATAAAATATTTAAAGCATTTTTGTGTCCTTTCTTTTTTTTGCAAGGTATTTGCATTTCTATTTGTTAGTCCAAGATTTTCAGTTTGAGTTTCCTAAAATTGAAATGTACCTGCATGCCTAAACCTTTGCACTTGCTTTCACTTCCAAATGGCATTCAATGTTTCTCTTTTCATTGTAGCAAGTATTGTAAATATGGAATTTTCATGGCTGTATTGAGTCCTATTGAAACAAGTACTGCCTTTTTGAAAGAATCACTTCTGACCCCTAATGAGCCAATGACTGTCCAATGTTAATATTATTATTATTAACTCTTATTACTACCACAGTGATGGATGCCTGAGCCTATCATATAACATGTCTGAATGAATTGAGGTGCAGTTAGCACATTGACAATGATAAACCCCTTATTACTGGTATTTTATAGTCTTTTAGAAGTGTGCTTGATATTTCATACACTAAACAGTAGCAGGTTGAATTTTGCCATTTCCCATTTTTTATATCTGTAATAAATTTGAACATAGAAAAACATCTAATGTAATAATGCCTATAATAGATCACACATGTTAGAATAAAGCTTAACTCTAATTGAAAGTACACATTATGAGCTCTGAGAAGGGTTTAAGAATATATGTTGGTTAAAAAATATATAGATTTTATATCAGCCAAAATTTTGCAATATTGCCCTTTTTACTGAAGTACAAAATCACTGCTATGTGTTTTGTAAAATAGAAGGTTCAACATGCTCACAGTAGTGGATGTTGTAACATGCTTCCCAGGTCTTTCAAGATCAATGCATTCACTTCTCCAGGTGCTGAGGGATGGTGGCTGACAGCTCTTACTGAGTCACTCTTAGCGATCAACTCTCAGCCATAGAAAGCCAGCTACACTGAGTTTAAAATGCCTCCCTGGGGCTAGCCTGTAACCAATGACTAGTCAATGCCCAAAGCCCAGGGTAAAGAGATGCCATGACTTTGCCTCACAGTGGAACAACCCTGAGATCTACTTCAGCCATAGAACACCCAATGGGATCCATTGAAACCTTTGCTATATCAGAGTTCAACTTCTCCTTCTCTTCAATATTTTTCCTTTCATTCCAACACAGGTGTTGATCACAATACATTCCCTAATAAACTTTCTGCACATTAATCTCCTTCACAGAGCTTGTTTCCTGGGAAGATACACATCTTGTCATTCTCTCTAAGATATTCACTATCATAATTATTTTCTGAATGATCTACTGAAGAGGGTCTAAGACAACTCCAATTCAGAGATAGAGTGTCCCTGTCTTCTTCTCAGTGCTGTATTTTACTATAAAGGTGAAGATAGAAACGTTTTCATAGTTTGATCAGATCTAGTTCTAAACTCTCTATTCTGCTCCTACTGTATGAGGGGCCTTCAAAAACTTCATGGGAAAATGAAATTAAAAGATATTGGAATCTTTCCATAAGCTTTTTGAAGCTCCCTTGTATATTGCTGTTGTTAAGTGTTTTCAAGTTGGTTCTGACCCATAGCAAGCCTGTATAGGGGTTCCGAGGAGTGGCTGGTGAGCTTGAACTACCCATCTGCAGTTCAAATCAAACTTGCAGGCCAGGGCATTAACCCACAGTACCACACCAGGACTTCCCCATGTGCATATTTTATACTTTATTTAATAGCTGCTTCTGATAGAAAATCTTATTACTTATTATTCCTTTGCATAGTTTTCATGATTATTATTAGGTGTTAACTTTCCAAATGAACTTCATGATTATTTTATTAACACTTTTCCATCCCCAAACATCCTACTTAGTAATACATTAAATTTACATATTAATTTGGGACATATTTTCATTATTAATATTTTGAGACTTCATATCCAAAAACATATGTAGCTTTTCATTATACTGTCATTGTTAACTGCTGTCGAGTTGGTGCCAACTCACAGCAATCCTGTGTAGAGTGTCCAAGGAGCAGCTGTTGAGTTTGAACCACTGACCATGCGGTTCAAACCAAACTTGCAGTCCAGTGTTTTATTCCACAGTGCCAATACTCTCTATATAAATATTTGACTATCTGGTATTAGATATGAAACATACCTGTTTTGACTTGTATACAAATTCAATTTAAATATAGATTTAAGAACAAACTTGTTCATAATTTGAGGATTCCATGTACAGTTTTGGAAACCCTATGTGGAAGTTCTGCTCTGTCCTACAGGTTTGCTGTGGGTCGGAATCCACTTGAAGGCAGTGAATTTGGGGTTCTGTGTTTATAATCCTTTTTAGATTTTCTTAGTGATACTATTGAAACAGAATGAGAGTAAAATGAACCTTAAGTCAATCTCTTTGGA